ATGATAAATAGCCAGTATAGCACAAGGAAAGGTGTGCAACACTAGAATCAGAAAAATACTAATCAGTACAATAATGAGATTGAATTATACACTCATTGGGGAGATGAAGATCAAAGTTTTAAAAGCCTTGTCATGACTTTTTCTTTTTGTTGTATTCTCCCCCTTTTCTGTGTCCTTTACAGACTCACTGTATCCTGCAGTGAAACAAGCATTTGATACAGGTGTTTCCTTCAAGCTCAGTACTGGGCTGGCCTGGCTTTCTCAGCCTCCTCTCCCCATCACTGGCCTTGAGTGATGGTATGCAGAAGACCCATTCATGTACCTCACTCTTACTCAGCGTGGTCAGTGGTTATTTCAGTATCACCTCAAACGCAACACATCGGAACCTGGGATGATGCTCTTCTTCCTAAAACATTATTCCTTGCTCTTTAACGGCACTAGTACCTCTTTCTCACTGCAAGCTTAAATATAGGGGCATTCACACCACTGTCTTGAATCACAACATTTAAACCACATGCTAAGGGGGCCAGAGAAGCAGGGCAGAGGAACTTGAGTCACTGGCAGTGCTGAAAAGTTTCTGTTCCAGCTCCTTTTCCATGAAGTAAGTCAGCTTTTTGAAAGAGCCCGCCACTATCTTTATATCTGCATATCATCATGAATGACAGAATGATGTTTTGGTCAGTTAGGGACTATATATGATGGTCCCAGACCATTATAATGGAGCTGAAAATTTCTGTCACCTAGTGATGTCACTGACATTATACATTACTCATGTATTTGTGTTGATGCTGCTATAAATAAACCTACTGCACTGCAGTCTTGCAAAATACCACGTACAGTTATATACTGTTGTGGTCAGGGTTTCCAAGGGAAATAGATTAATATGGGACATCTAATTTGGTTTTTTTGTAGAACCGGAAATCGAACTCAGGACCTTGTGCATGCCAGGCAGGCGCTGGTGCCACTGAGCTAAACCTCCGGCCCAGGACATCTAATTCATAGGATTATTTTTATAATATCCACCCAAAAAGTCAAATGTAGAGGAATGCAAGAGTTCTAACCACACACGGGAGACCCAAAGAATCCAGCCAGGGGCCTGGATCCCACAGCAATGTCCAGCTCAGGTCCCAGCTGAAGGTCTAGAGTCCAAGGCAGAATCCAGGCAGTGGCCTGGAGCCCACAGCAATGTCTCATGCAAGCATACATTGAGGATCTGCACCTGGAAGGTCCAAAGGCCAGTGGTGGAAGCCAGAAAACCTGTACCGGTGAGATGAAGGATTTGTGTCACCAAGCTGAGGGATCTACACTGGAGCCAGGAAGTGAAGCTTAAGGTGAAGATCAGAGCTCCCCTGATGAGAACAGCAGCCATTCCCAAGGACAGCGACACCCCAAGCTCCTTCAACAAAAACAGCCAAGTTTGCATCAGGAAAACCAGCCTCAGCAAGCTTCTCCTAGAAAAGCCCACACAGTATAAAAAGCAACAAGGGCCCTCAACAGCATCTTTCTACCCCTTTTATCTTATTCAGACTACTTACAGCAGGTAGCACTCATGCTCTTAATCCGAGTGCCCTCTGGCCTAGGCCAATCATGAATCAATTACACACTCTATGAAAAAGCATGAGGCTTTGGGGGGACATCTAATTGCAAGCCGTAACACATACCATACATAATACTCAATGAAGGTAATCAACAAGTATGTCACTGGTTTATATATTTACCATACTTTCTGTAGAGTGCATTCCTATTTAATAAAAAAAGTTTATTGTAAAACACTTCACCATGTTACACTGATAACAGCCTCATACATTTTGTGTTTAACTAGTCTCTTGATTGTATAAAGAGGCCCTATCAAGGTAGTGCACTATACCTTGAGTGTTTTGTTTGTTTGTTTTGGTATTGGAGATTAGGCTTCACACTGAGCTATATTTCCAGCCATTATTTATTTAATTTTGAGACAGGGTCTCACTCAGTTGCCCAGGCTGGGTTTGAATTTGTGATCCTCTTGCCTTAGCTTCCTAGAATGGTAAGAATTACAAGCATGCACCAACACACATGGCCACCTTCACCTTTCAGTTTGTGTAGGTACACTCTAGAATGTTCACAAAATGAAGCAAGTGCCTAAGCTTGCATTTCTCAGGACATATCCCTATTGATAAGTGAGA